TCCGAGATGCAGATACCTCCAGCTCACGAGTCCCAACTAAGACAAAACGTGCGTCCTGAATTCTATTGCTATCCAGCATCCATCTTTGCATATAATGCTTGTAAATTAAGGCTATATCGAGGCATTACAGACATATGCCAATAAGTGACTGATCAATAGCAATCTTGAATATCGATGAGAGGATCCAAACAAACAATAACAAGTGAATTTAAATTTCATACAGTTTACTTTTTATTCTCTAATAATTTCATTCGATCAAATTTGTTTTTCAAAACTCACAAATTGAAATAAATAACTATTTTATTAATAACCTGTTCTTTCTATTTAACTGATTTAATAAACTGTGAATAAATAACTAAAACAAAAATGAAATAAGCAACACCCAAATCGATCAGCTGATCAACTAGTTTAATGATCATAACTTTATTACCTATTACAATTATTATCAATATTATTATTATTATTTATATTCACATAATAGTAGTATCTATTATATCAGCACTAATTTTACCACAACAAAACAACATTGATCAACAAATATAGTTTGCATTAAAAATTTAGTTATAATAACACATTTCCATATAATTTCTAAACTCACGAGTATATAATGTAAGCAACTATTTATGAAATAAGATTTTTTTAAAATTTGATAATAAACTAGTCATCTGATTAGTTGTAATTCTCATACAAACATACATATGTAATTAGTAAATAAACAAAATGTGTTCGTTTGATGAAAGTAAATAGATCAGTTATTGTTTGTTCGTTTGTTTTCGAAAAAAATATTTTGTAAGCACAATAGATCGTATTGTAAATAGAACACATTGTTACTGATCTGTTGTTTTAGTTATTCATATGAATGAACGTGTTAACTAATCATCATTTATTATATCTTTTTTTTTCTAATTTCCATAGAGTGAAAGATAAAAAGTGAAAAGACGTGAATAAGCTAAGTATAGAAATATTATTCTATGTGATACTTGATAATCATTTTGTTAATGACTTCTTAATAATAACTAGTCGTTTTTTAATAGTTGAGATCATGAATTCATTGAAGCTAGACAATTATGGAAAACCTAGAACCAATGGAAGATCATTTTGTCCTATTTTTGGGATTTCTCATTGTTACGCATCCACGACTTCGCCTCGCGGGATTTAAACTAATTATTGTTGAAAAATTAATCATACTCTTTAATAGACTGATGTTTAAAAAAAGGAATATTTTATTCAATTTCTATTTTAAATTATTGTTTGAAATTCTAACTGAAAGTAAATTAAAAATACGATTTCCCATGTAAATGTCACCATTATGTCAAAAAAAATGAAAGTAATGGTCCTATAATATAAGTTGATTGTTACGTTATATGGATCATGACTATTTCTAGTCACTTATATTTTGTTTGAATTTGTCGCGAAACATTTAAAGTATATATATATATATATCTTTCCTCATTACTAAGGCTTAATTTTTAATTTATAACCAGAATTATATAAAGGGTAAGATGGATCAACTTACTTTTATCTTATTGGTTAGTATTATGTAACTTACATCAGAATTTAATTATGCTTCAAATCAGAATTAGTACACTATCTTGAACATTCAGTGATTTAGAAATTAGTATAAAAACAAATTCATGAAAACTGGCTTGCTCTAAGTCTGTTCAGAGTGAAGTGAATAGAAAACGTTATGTATATGCTGTCAAGTAACTTATCGTTCAATAGACTGACTCAACTCGAAAATTTGCTTAACTGTGGAAAATTATATATTTGAAGTGTATATAACTGTATAAAAATCCTCATTGTGCTACTTGTAATAAATGTTATTAATATCTAACGACATTAAGTCATATGTGACAAATCATTAAATGATAAAAATATATCGATTGTCAGTTTCTCTTCCAATTGATAGTGATATTATATTATGTACGTTTTATTGTTTGGTCAACATACGTCTGATTTCCTCTATTTCTTTGTTATAATTCATGATACTACTCATGAAATTAGTTTCTGACTCTTTTTAAATTTATTGCTTACTTACGGCTGTTACTCTTTGTGAAAGAGCATAGGCCGCTCACCAGCATTCTCCATCTAACACTGTCCTGGGCAATCCTTTCTAGCTCTTCCAGGTTCTTATTCATCCTTTTCATATCTCATTCTATTTCCCGACGTAATGTGTTCTTTGGCCTTCCTCTTTTAAGCTTCCCTTCAGGATTCCAAGTTAGGGCTTGCATCGTGTTGCAGTTTGATGATTTGCCGAATGTATGTCCTATCCATTTCCATCGTCTTTTCCTAATTTCCTCTCCAGCTGGAAGCTGGTTTATTCTCTCCCACAGTAGACTGTTGCTGATGGTAACAGGCCGATGAATGTTGAGTATCTTGTGTAGACAACTATTTATAAATACTGGTACCTTCCTCATGGTGGTTGTAGAAGTTTTCCAAGTATCAGCTCAGTACAGTAGAAGTGTCTTGATGTTCGTATTGAAGATTCTCGCTTTGATATTAGTTTAAAGTAGTTCTGAGTTGCATATGTTCTTCAGTTGTAGGAATGTGCCCCTTGGTTTATCAATCCTCGCCTTTACGTCTACATCTGAACCTCCTTGTTCATCGATGATGCTTCCCAGGTACGTGGAGGATTCTAAATCTTCCAGAGTTTCACCATCAAGTGTGATTGGGTTGGTGTTCTCTGTGTGTTAAATTTATTGACTAAGTATTTAACTAAGTTTTCAATCTGAACTTAAGCATATTAATATTAAGTTTTAAGTAGAATACGTCTGTTTATTTCAATAATAAAAATGAATAAGACATAGTCATATCCCTAGTAGATTCTTATAAGTTGAATCTATTTATAAAGATCTCTTAATAAAACCTGCTGTTTCCGACTATCCTCCAGTCAGAATATTTAACAGAATACTTTACATTTATAAAAGTCAAAATTAGTTCCTTATCCCATTTTACAATCAAAACATTTATTTTGTTAACTATAAATTGTTCTGGAAAACAATAATTAGTTATATCAAACATTTGATTTAGAACAGTCATTTAAAACCGTCTACTGAACAATTAAAAGAAGTTATTAAACAAATCTAGACTAAGATAATGAGCACTCATAGTAAATATATGCTTATTTCATAAGACGAATAAAAACTCTGTCAGCACGTATCCCAAAAGTAAGTAGTCATACAATAATACATATTTCCAATGGACAAAGTTTAATCCACTATACTGTTTTAACATAACATTAAGTAAATCGTATTCATTTAAGGAAACCCACTGATTTATTAAATAAAGATATTTCAGAGAAGAAAGTTTTCTTACAGAAGTTCTCATTTACTAGAATTATACAATTAAAACCAGTTATGTTTCTTACATAGGAGTCTATAATAAAAATAAAGTTATTGCAACATTAGATAGAATATCTATTTACAAAGAAATGCCATCATACAATTAAGAATGAAACAAACATAATCAGAAAGACTAAAACGTAATCTTAAAACCTAAATCAATCGTTTATTAGAAACTAGCGCAAGACAGTTTAAAGGTAAAAAAACTAATATCGATGTAAACGTCTTGCGTAGACATTCAGGAATCTTCTACTACGAATAATTTACTCAAGCATGGTTTTCTAGACTATCCACCTTCGTTTTATTTAACAGAACAAACTATACACCTATAAGAACATTTCTGAAATAAAAATTACTTTAGAATATCAGATAACAAGCATTTGATAGCTTTATCATTTGATAAGATGACAAGCATTAAATACAAAACTTTCCATATAATACATACAATCCAATATGAAATTCAAATACGTGAAAATGTTTTACCAGTGACTTATTTCCAATTGTTCATTTAATGTCATACATTTCTCTGTTTTAGATTTATTTATTTATTTAACTAAAACATTCTCTAATCACGTTTACGTATAAATTTTTACAATTTAACGTGTTCTTTATAAATTTAGTTACGGTAGTTCGTAGATTTTCTCTTCCTCATGCAATAAACATTAGTTTATGTAAAATGATGTCATCAGACGAAAGATAATCGTACACATTCACAGATGCGTTTAAATTAAAGTCAATCACCGTTCACAGTTTTTGTATATACCTTCCTGAATATCAACAAATTAAGTAATTATAAAAGAAGAATTTTGCAAAAAACTGGCATAGTTTTTACTGAGATGCCTATGTTTTAATCAAGCACGTGTTACTGAATAAAGTAAAGACTCATATTACTATCATTATAACGTTTGTTTTTTTAATATTCTAGAATATAACGAAACATCAGATTTCTGAATTGTAGTTCTTCTATAACATCAATATATCATTTTGCTTAATAAATGATACATCTATAAAAGTAAGTAAAAATGAATAACAGTCTTCATTTAAGTCAATCAAAATATATTTTTGACTTTCCCATATTATACAATTGACTTAAAGTCTACGATAAAATATTTGCTGAATATTGTACTGTTAGGTTTGTGTTTGCTTGTCATAATTAGGACTATATACATACAGTCAGAATATATATATATATATATATATATATATATATATGCCAGTGATGTTTAACCAGGTCTGTTGTGAGATAGTAACTCATAGAAGACGACGGTGATTGTGTCGCTCAATGTCGTGGATTAGCTGAAGTTAGACATTAACACCGTTGGATACGGGCTCAGTGGTCTAGTGGTTAAGTGCTCGCGCGCGAAACCAGTAAGTCTTGGGTTCGAATCTCTCAGGGGGCGAGGTCATGGATGAGCACTGCTGAGGATTCCCATACTTGGACGAAACGGTCGTTCAGTGCTTCCAGGTTTTCCATGGTTGTCCAGCTTCAACTGACTCATGATATTAACCATCGATATAAATATGCACCTACCAATCAAATATAGCGTGTAACAAACAAATTTAAACACGATAGCACATCATTTATATATAACAAAAAAAACAACTAATAATATCACTAGTAATATAAACAAACATTCTAGATATTAGATGAATACATACCAGTAAGTAAACATGAGAACTAATCATATGATACACAATTTCACCGTTTCTTTATAATGAGCTTCCTTGACAATATTTTAAAAATATCTTGAATGTTTCCAAATGTAATATATAGGTAATTCAATTAATGATGTGATCAATTATGTAATCAAAAAAAAAAATCCATTTCATTTCATAATTGATTTCAAAAATGTGTACATTTAATGTTTATATACCATGTAATTATATGTACTTTATGAATAATCAGTAGTATATACATGTAATACACAATATAAATAATAATTCATTCATAAATTCAATAATATTAGTAATATATGAAAACGGATCAAATAAATTACGAAAATTTTCATAATTCTATTCATTCTAATGAGTCTTTTATATGTGATTTGTTTTGTTTAGAAAAACCAAAAAAAACTATAACCAATCAGAATAAACCGTAAAGTTAATTGACAATCATCAGAACAAATAAATAAGTATAGTATGATACTATATAAATCATTTAAAAGTTGTTTATTATTATCTTATATAAAATAAGTATACTGATAATAAGTAGTATTATATCTGTATTTTACATTTATGTATATAATCAAATGATGATAAGTCTATAAATCTAATAAGATAATTGTTTTCATGATTTAATAAGTAGTATAAAAGTAGTTATCTTCTTATACACTAAATTATGAATTATGACAAGTAGATAGATGCTTTTTGTTTATTTTCCATAGTAAATCTATTATAACTTCAAATGAAAAAAGAATGTGTACAATTTATATTACAACAATTATTATTTACGTGAAAATTTAATTCAAGTCATTTACCAAGAATGGGTTTATATAGTACACTTCCAGTGACATTGTTTGTATAATAGTGAATTCTTATCACATAACATGTAGAGCATAACAAGTTTTCTTTTCTTATAAATATATATCTACTCAGTGATTGTAAGATCATATTTATTTTCATTAGAAATAGTATACGACAGGGTTTGATTTTATAAAGTTTAATTTCATTGAATAATATACATTTATCTCAAAAGGCTTTTGTGGATATTATAGTTATTTCACTGGTTGAGATCATTAGTTAGTTGAAGCTAGACCATCATGGAAAACTTGGAGCACTGGACGGCCGTTTCGTCCTACTGCGAGACTGGTTGAAGTTAGACATTAACGCCGTTGGATGTCGATTCAGTGGTCTAGTGTTTAAGCGCTTGCGCGCGAAAGTGACATGTTCTGAGTTCGAATCTCGCGAGGCGAGGTCATGAATGCGCATTGCTGAAGAGTTCCACAATAAAACGAAACGGCCGTCCAATGTTTCCAGGTTTTCCATGGTTGTTTGGCTTCAATTGACTCATGATCTCAACCATTTTTAACGTATTTAACTTTTGCATTTTTTAAAAGGGTAGACATAAAGGAAAAACGGTTCCATGATGGTTTTTAAAATTTTCATCATTTAGTTTTACTAAGATGTGTAAATCTTTTGTGAATGAATGTGACTATTTATTAAATTTATCATATGCAAATTCTTCAGTTGAAATAAACTCGGAGTGATCTTTTCATTGAAATATTTATAGTATTTAGAGCATTGTTAGTGCAGTGATTCAAGAGGAATTCTTGTATATAGTCATTATCGAATACAATAAACTACATAAAACCCAGCCTAAAAAGACAATCAAACATAAACCATATATTTCTATAGAAATGAATGAAATATTTGTTTCAAGCTCGAAGAAAAAGTAACTAGAGACAAAATATGGATAATAAAATAGTTAGTATGTTCAAATCTTAACAGATCAATGAGAGTAAGTTTGGAAAATCTGAAAAGTCGAGGAAAATTTTGCAACTGCAACATTTCTATAGGCTTAGTCTTAAAACTATGGTGTTTAAAAAAATAGCTTTCTGTTCTAACAGGTATGGACTACCGGGTTGGAGTCCTCATGATTATCATAACCAATAATTGGAAACTTTGAATGACATGGCTCAAAATCGTTTGGAATGACGCAGGTGCATCTACTCTCTATATTTACTTAGATTCTAAGTTCATAGATTATTCAGAATGTGTTTTATATATAAGTTATTCATATATACTCTGTCTACTCTCAGTTCTTAAGTTAATAAATTACTCATAATCCTCCTAACTAATGTATATTTTCTTGAGTTATATCTTTCATACCTAATCATTTTTATAATTTCTAGTATTGTTACTAACTCTAGGACTCTGAAGTTCACCTTAACTGTTTCATCTTGCTGTGGTAATAGAGTATGGGAACTTCATCTGATGTATACACGTACCAGATCATACATTCCATTTGACTGAATTAGTGTATTAATATGTTTATTAATAACTTTCGGGTTAATGCTACTAAATCTTCTATTCAATCAGATGCATAAAATACAATATACAGTTTAAACTTCATTGTAAACTGGTAGTGATCTTCCTTTCATTTAAATAGTACTCGGCTAGATTTATGCAACCACGGAGCTTTAGGGTCTATTAAGTATTATTAGGTACGAAATATGGAAAGTAATATAATATATGGTAGCATTTAAGAGGAGTTGGCTGCTAGCTACAATTCACATAACTGGTAATCAACAATATCTGAAATGACAAATTAAGAATATAAGATCAAAAATTTCTGAAGCTTTGATAACTTTAGTTACATAAAACACGAACTTAACACTGTTCACTTTCAAAATCCGTTCAAAGGAACTGTTCACGATTTTTGCTTGCTTACATTTTTAACCAATATAAAAGATTGTATATTATCCTCTACGAACATTTTAAATGAAACGTTATTCAGTTAACTAACAAAGCACAAAAATGATCATACAAATAATTACTGACAAATCCATAGTCGTCCATAGCTTTAGGAAACAAATTGGATACAAGAAGTAACTTCTCAATGCAATAACAAAAAAATCATGTCTTTACCATTAGCTAGTTTTTAACCACAGTTTTAGAAAATGTGGATGGTTTGCATTTTTCTAAACATATTGTTATTATGGCGTGTCTTAACCATCTCATTTACACAATTTGTTTCATTAGTTTATATATAGAGATGTGATAGTCTAAGGAATCAATATGTTGATAGAATTATCTTGCCTAAATTTCATTATCCTAATCCACTCATCGTCTAAATGAAGCTTCCAAATTATTGATATAAAAAAGTCCATCATAAAATGTTTGGCTTTATTCTGCTATGAAGTATTGTTATTGAAAGAGTGGAAATCCACTTTTTTTAAATATCACTACAATATATATCTAGACTTATAGTTATACATTGCCTCTATTACTCTAATGGTATTAAATAAAAAGGAATATTCCAAATAACTATGTTTTGAACCTACATTAACTGGAATGATGTGGACACTAATCAAATATTCTTAAATATATATCCTTCATCAACTTACCATTTTAATATGAATTTAATTAAATACGCTTCACGATTATCAAACCAAGACATTTTATCAATAAACGAAGTCTTGGACTAGTCGTATGAAAGATTAAATCTTTCAGATTTAAGTCCTGTAAACAGATAAAATCAGTAATTTCAAGATTTAAGTAAAATATTTGAAAGTTAATCGCAATAGCGCAGATGAATTCGCTAATCTTCTTTCCTTATTTATTGAATATCATAGCGTTTCAATCGAAGTTTTTTTTTAATTTTTGAACAGAAACATGTTACATCCACAAATTAACAGGGATACAATCACGTAACATCTCTAATAACTCGTAATAAAAGAAAAGTTAAAAAGACTGATGGTTTATTACATTGTTTCCTAAAAATCATTATAGATGTGATGGAAATCTGTGAGTAGTCTTTAGTCAAACAGTATTGTATCAAGGGAGATAATGTAAATATATAAGAAAATGAACAGATAAAGTTATGAGATGGTGGAGAAGATTTGTAGCTCAGGTGGATGATTTTGGTGGAGTTTTGTTCTCTGAGCTGGATGGTTTGGTCGTGAGACACTCATGGAGAAAATATAGTTGTTCTCGAGTGGAAGCCTGCCTTTTAGCGAAATTCTCCCATTTTCGAACAACGACCAAACCATCCAGCTCAGAGAACAAAACTCCACCAAAAACAGATAAAGTTATTTATGTCAACTATTGAATTACAACCCACTGGTTTTCATATATTATGGTTTACAGATAACCTATGCAAATTGATATAATTTATGTGTAAAAGAATTATTGTACATTTTTGATGAATTATAACATTGGACGAAATAGATGACCATCACTGTAGGATTGAATTTTGATCGTCCAGTTTATGATAATCTGAAACTAATACTATGGTTGTATTGAACGAATCTTCACATCATCTATCTAACATTTTTTATACAAATGTTAGATAGTTGAAGATAATCAGTATAAAGCAGTGGATTTAGATTTTGTGCTACCAAACGCCCTGGTACGACCGAGGGTGAGGAGGGTTCACGCTCCCTCTCGATATGCTCTCACTTGACCACGCGTACACAGTCACTGCCAGGAAAGTCCTACTCACTGCCTTCTCGAGGCGGGGATGTTGTTTACGAAATTGAGAGAACGAAAAGAGAATGTTCAGTGCTTTAGACGGGTTAGTGGACACAGAGGATTCACTTAGGGGAGTTAGGAAACCCTGATTCCAAACCAATGATACACACTGGCTCCAGTATCCTGCGGGTACAAGTGGCGTATGAACCAACTATTGGTCACCGGATACCATGAGACTGCATCTCCTGACGCTGCTTTTCTTCCTTGTGGATCAGACTTTTAGATCAAAGGCTCTAGATGTGGCCTCGGGCAGTATCACAGCCTACACACAAATCAAATGACTTTTGTGGCGTATATATATTCGGTGCCCTTAAGTACCGATATTTATGTGTTCAAATTAATAAATAAACACATGAAAATACCCAATCTGTTTTCAGTTTCGGTAGACCTACATAATAGCAAAACAAATTTCGTAAAAAAATGAGAAGACAAATGGAAATCAAGAGACATATCGCCTTATGCTTTAATGTTACATTTTAAA